GAAATCTGTGACTCAGCGACTCCAACTGAAACTGATGAGGCACTTCACATGAGAGTGGGACTTCCAGAGAAATCCTCTACCTTTGCTGGTGTTCAGTCTTTGTGGCAAAGCCAGGGGAGGTCCTTTGGCAGCACTCTAAAATAGCAGTTAAAAGAATCATGGGATATTACTCAGTACGACTCATAAAAACTCTGCTTCCTTTGCATCACCTTCTTTTTCAGAACCGGAAACTAATTCCTGTCACAGTTCAGTCTGTATAAGGGTGCACAGTCAGCTTTGCATACCTTGCTGTTGCACTACTTAAACCTCATACAAGATGCCTGTGAGCTAATCTCAGTGGTGTTTGGTTTTTGTTCCTGATTTTACGGCAGCTAAGCTTTACATTATGTGTTAGAGAAAGACTCCCACAATGTCTTCTTCACATACAAGTGCTGCCTCTATTTATGATCAGGGTATTATCAGGTATGAATATATGTGTGCATGTACAATATTTGTAAATGGTCATTTATATTCAGACATTTGTTCTGCAGAGGGAAACAATGATCAATTTACTCTTTTTCATACCTATTGCCAAGTTTTTATAAAACTTAGGAATAGTTGTCTGTAATGCTTTACTGAATTAGGACCTGATCTTTGGCTCCTCCAAGTCAATGGGACCTGTACGAGATAGAGACATATTGATGTAAATGCAATAGATGGAGGAACTGAGACAGCGAAGTTAAGTGGCTTGCCTGTGATCACACAGGGAAGTCGTTAAAACTGCTGGGAAGGGAATCTGACTCAACTCTCAAAACCGTTCATTTAGCACAAGTCCACCATCCAATGTGAAAAGCAAAGTGGCTATCTGAAAGATTTGTCGCAGAATGGTGCAAATGTCCAATTGGTACTGGTGCAAATGCTAGTTAGACCCCCTGATTCTCTTCTAAATCTTTTTTAAAATTAAAGAACTGTTAAAATATCAACAGAGGTCCCTTTTCAGCATCTGTTCCGAATAAATTCCTAGCAACCTTCCACCAGCTCTTTTGTAAGCTACGTATTCTTATTTTAGCAGTGCTGATTATGTAGCACTTTGGCAGAAGCTCCTGGTATAATAGCACTCTTTCTCCAATACAGGTCAGTCCGATGCAAAATACTACCCCACTTACCTTATCTCTAATACTCAATACATATTTATAACATGTAGAGGACTGGACTTAGATGATCTCTCCAAGTCCCTTTCAGTCCTATTGTTTTATAATTATCTGAATATTCCCTTGGAATTCCCAGAATTGCAAGTTTAGCCCTTAATCAAATGATATCTGCGTTCTTACCCAGAAGGCTGTTTTCAAGTGCCTGACCATCCAGTCTCACTAAAAGGGCTTCTTGCACTATGGCCTTTGAGAGTTATAGAAACTGAAAGAGGAAGTATTAAGCAAGGTGCTTTTACTAAAAGGAAGATTGCAGGTTTTTAATATTTGCCAACCCCAAGGATTCAGAAATCATGAGTCAGGCTTCCAAAATCAAGAAATTGGCTTCAAAATCCTGAGATTTACTTTAAAAACCCCACTCATTTGTGGTTCTTTTTCCTGACTTTCTGGTTTTTGTGCCTCTGGGGTTCACATTTTCTTGCTTTGATAAAAGTGGGACTTAATGCTTAATGTGCTTAAATGCTACCCTAAATAAGGCTGGTTTTGGTCATTCAGAATGCAGCTAATTTAGATCCATGTAATAGCCACATGAAGTTAGTATTTCCACAGCAGCAGCCGTTAAAGATCTAGGAGTTTACTATAATTGGATTTTCCCTCCATATATTTCAGTATTCTCATGTAGCATTCATAATTTTATTGCAAAAAATCTTAAAGCTGATAATACATCAAAATGTCTTTAAGTTAACTGCGGCCATTCAGACAGTTCAGCTTTTTTAATAATATATGTAGCTTCATGACTGTAACACATCATGCTACAATACTTAAGTGGCTAATAACTTTAATACATTTTTCTGCCAAAAAGGCATTCAAAGTAGACGTCCCTTTAGAGCAGAAAATGGTTTTTATGAGAATCTGGTATTTTTCAAAGACTTGAATGATATCTAAAGGAAAAAGTAATTCTTGTGAAAGGCATGATCTTTTCTGGAACTATTCTAAGGGACTGAAAGGTTAGACTTAGGGAATCAGTGATGTAAATTTGCCACGCAGCTAAGAGATATGGACAGCATTCATTAATGTTCTCTGCATATGCAAAGCCAGCTATCAGTAAAGCTTTGACAGGTTTTTCATAGTCTCATGTTTTTTACTGTAGAAACTGGTACACTGAGAAGCAGAATACGATAGTTAAATCATCCATGCTTTTCTTTTATATTCATTCCTTGAAACGGGGGCACGCCAGGGCCTGCAGCTAGAAAGGGCCATAGAGAGGTCCTCCAGGTTGTCTAGAGGGGCTAGGAAGAAACCAGCCATCGAGACCAGGAAGGACTACATAAGAAGCTGCAGCACTAGAGTCAGGGCAGTGGCAGCCCACAGCTGAGGGAGAGAGGACCAGGGATAACTGACTTGCCTGAAGGAGTGACTCCATGGGAGGAGCTGCTTAAAGACTATGAACTAGTAGATAAAGCTCCACGTTAAGGACAAAGGGAGTTGTCTCCGTGAGGAGGAGCCCTGGATCCACCATTCTTGATCAGAGTAAAGAGAATGAACTGAGAGAATGGATCGGACTCAGAGACACTCCACAGAGGGCACTGGGCCGGGCCTTGTTAGAGGTGTACCCTGGAAGGGGGTTGCAATATGCAGGACTTGACTTGGTCAGAGGGTTGAGTTGCCAAAGAGGCTTTTGGCATTGACAGAGGCAGAGTGTAAGCACCCACACACAGCCAGCCAGGAGCACTCCGATGAAATTAAATAAACACCCTCAAATGGAAGTGACTGTTTACAGAAAAGGTAGACAATTTTCGTTTAACAACTGATAGATACTTCCTTGCCTCAGAAATGGCTACTTGCCCTTCTAGGACAATAGATTTAATGATCACATAGCCCTTCACCTCATCCGTTGCCCCATGATTCTGTATAAAGAGATCCACACCCCACTCCTCCTTCCAATTGTTAATTCCATTCAAAATGAGCAAACTGCCAGAGGGCTTTTTGTGAGAAAAGTTGATTATTTCCTCTCAGGTTTGTTGGCCCCTTTGTGATACAGTGACAGAGAGAAGGGAAGATTTCAGGCAATTTGGGAGCAGGAGGGTGGTTGAAATTCTTGAAAGGAGGTTTTCTGCTGTCTCTGTGCATGTCTTTGGGATAGTAGAAGGCACAAGGGTGGGATTATGTGAACTTCAAACTCAGTGGGAGGAGGGATAGCTCAGTGATTTGAGCATTGGACTGCTAAACCCAGGGATGTGAGTTCAATCTTTGAGGGGGCCATTTAGGGATCTGGAGCAAATCTGCCAGGGATGGTATTTGGTCCTACAGTGAGGGTAGGGGACTAGACTCAGTCACCTTCCAACTCTATGAGATAGTTATATCTCTCTCTATATCTAGTGTTTCTCAAAATGGGCTAAATTTGCCTTGTAGCTAAATTCTCTCTGATCTGGGCCACAGAGCTGATCCCTTGATGTCTGTTCTACTCAGTGGGTGCAATTCACCCCTTTGCAAGAGTCCTGTAGACTATTTAAGTCCTTCTTAAGTCCCCAGAATAGCACAAAAGAGGGGACAGGACAGAAAAATAGAGGTGAAGAATTTCATCATGCAGATAACAGAGGAAATTGTGACCCTAAGATAGCATCATGACCCACAATTTTAAACTCAGATCTATAGGGATCCTGTAGAGTCATCACACACATTTTTGAATCAGGACTCCCTGAAGCCTAAATTAGGAGGGTTACAAGGTTATTAGGTGGAGGGGCATTTACAACAGTGTTAAATATAAAAAAGCATGTTTTGAATTTCTAAGTTGGGGTCACACGCAGAGACTCCTTGTGTGAAAAGAGTCACCAGCACACATATCTGAGAACCACTGAGCTAAAAGGCTCTCCTCCAAGGAGGAACAATGGAGTTTCTGATTGGTCCACTCCTTCCTGTTTAAGCAAAAAGGAGAAATAGCTGGCCTCTGCCGTGCATTGGACTCCTCACCCAGTGCTATTTGTTAATGTCTTTTAATCCTGACCTCCTGGTTTCTTGACTCAGCCTGATTCCTGGAAGGAATTTGACTCAGAGTTCTTGATCTCTGCTTTGTCTCCATTTCCTGAGCTCCTGGTTTCTTTACTCAAGGATTCCTGGTATCTAACTCATAATTCCGGATCTCTATCTTGTTTCCTAACTCATAATTCCAGATCTGCATCTTGTCTATTTTTCCTGACCTCCTGGCTTCCAGCTTCAGCCTGATTCCTGGGACCTGCCTCCCTGCCTCAACACTTATCATTAGGCATGTTTGCCTACATCGTTATCTTGATAGATTGGTTCTGACTGTATAAAACCAATGCAGACCCCAGGGAATTTAATGCAGAAACTTCAGTTAAGTTCCATGGGTGAAATACATCATGCACTATGTAAAAATTATTTAAATATATACATTTATAAATATCTGTTTCATCACCAAACTAATCCTACTATATTCTAAATGACTGAACTCATAGTCAGATAAAAGTTACAACTAGATAAAAATGTTGCTCATTTTAAGGAAATTATCCTTTTGAAGTCTTGAAATGATACCAACCTAATATTTAGATGTGGGAAAGGATGAACATTCCATTTTGTGAAGGATTTCAAGTTTTTTAACTTTGGCTTAGTTCTCATGTGGAGTGAAAACTCAAAGTTTTGAAATTTTGCATCAAGGAATTAAAAAAAAACGGTGTTTCAGGTCAATCAAAATGTTTCCTATTGACTTTGAGTCCTTAAAATGTTTTATTATATAATGCATATTACACAACATTTTCCAAAATTCAAAACAAAAAATCCTTTCTGAGCAAGAAAGCATAATTATTTCATTCTAAAAATGTCACAATGGGCATTTTAGCATTGTCAGAATCACCCCCCCCTTTTTTCTGAAATAAATTTCTATGAAAGGAACCCTCTTTTGCAAAGTCTTTTGATATTGATAAAACTGTGTGGTCTGATGAAATACGACTTTGTCAGACTTTCTCTGGCCCGCTCCTTTAATGCCTCAGAGAAATAAGATGCATAATGATAATATATTTTATTGCAGGTGATTGAGTAAATGTCACGTGTCCAATGTGGGAACAGGCATTACATTTCTTACTAAAGTGGTCTTTAGGACCAAACTTTGTTGTGTTGATAGATTAAATTATTCATATATTCATAGATTTTAAGGCCAGAAGCAGCGGGGGCCGATAGCCACCATGACCCTCGGGAAAGATGGGGAGGGCTTTGTGCCACAGAAGGATCAGTTCCTTGTCCAAAACAACTCAGAACCCCTTAGAGTGTGTGGCACAGCACTGTGGCAGAGATTGGAAGGACCTGGGACTCTAGCTGCTGATGCTGTTGCATTAGCAGCAGTGGCAGCCAAGAACCCTGGTCCCCTTGGAGTCACCAGGCCCTGGAGTAATTGTGCCCTTTATCTCCCCCACACATACATCCTCAGACCTGGCAAGAAGGGACCATCTGATCTGATCTCCTGTGTAACAAGACCATAGAATTTCATCCAGGTTCTCCTGTATTCAATCCAATAAATTGTGTCTAAATAAACTATGTCTTCCCAGAAAGACATCTAGTCTTAAAGGCTTCAAGCGATGAAGGATCCAGCACTTTGCTTGCTAGTTTCTTTCAAAGCTTAATCCTCCAGTTCAAAAGGTTATTCCTTATTTCCCGTTTGGCTTTCCGTGGCAGACCTTGATTCGTTGTTATGCTTTTCTCTACTAGATTAAAAAGAGCCTGTTAGCATTTTCTCACAGAGAAGGTCCTTGCACCTTCTTGTTATAGCCAACATTCCTTTTAAAGCAACCTGTACACACAAAACATGCAACAAAAAAGAACTAAGCTTTCCACTGCCATTCCTTTCATTTACTAAAAAATGTGGTAAATGAATGACTTTAATGAATGGGACTTGGTAGGATATTTTAGTTATGCACCTGTTTCTAAAATGCACCATAGTCTTGTTGAGTCTTTTGCTACTCATTTCAGTTGTGAGAATTCTGGTTGTTGAGAAAATGTTGTTAGCATTTGGCACATTCTCCAAGTGTTTGACACAGATCTGAGAGGAGAGTCAGCTGCTCGGAGGAGGCGGAGGGAGGGAAAGGCACTGAGGCTTTCACAGTATAATAGGCGTCACGTTTAAGGAGAAGACTTAGCTGGCCTGTTGCCCGTTGATGTGTAGAAAAATAGATCAGGGCTTGCGCTTTAATAAACACAGAAATCAGTTGTGCAGAGATGTGTTAATTCAATCATTAATCCCCATGGTTCAGAGACTGCAAGGGTTAGCTGGGCACTATGCAATACGCTAAACAGTTCTTCTGGGTGCGGTATGATTAGTAGGTTGTCTCTGTAAAACAATGCATGCAGATTGTTAAAGCTGGGTCGTAGCTTGAGCTATGAAGCCCGCTGGCTCTCAACTTAGGCTGTAGAGCTCCCTTGTTCTTATCTCTTGCTGTAAGTGGTCTAAGTGCCACTCCATGAAATAGTGAGCCACAGTAGGTATGGGGGTTAGTTACAAACTTCCCCTAGCTGAGGAAGCATGTCCAAGCATTAGAGACCCAGTTGAGATCCCAGACAAGCCCCCATTTATATTAGGTGGCAGTTATATTAGGACCCCCTCTGTTCCTCACCCAACTCTGCTCCTCTCCAGTGTCTTCTCTGTGGTGGCCATATCAGCTCTATTGCTCATTTCTGCAGGGAAACAAAAATTATGCTCCAAAAATATTAATTTCCCCAAAATGCTGCATTGTGCAGCGGCACAGCATTCCCCCAAGAGTAATCTTTCAGTAAACATCCAAGCATATTGCAAGTAGGATCTTATCTGGTAATGTCTTGAATCAATCCTGAATACAGCCGTCATCAGTATGTCAGACTTACATGGATGCTAACATTGGCAATCTGCCATTTATCCACCATGTCCCGAGATATTTTATAATCTAAATGGTAGTTCCTGAGTGTTTGGTGCTGAAAGACTTCATCTATAGCACAGATATTTTCTTTATAAGCCTATCTAGCTGGTTTTCTGGACTCTGAAAAAGAGCTGGGTAATTTCTCTTTTTCCATGCGTCCTCGCTAAAGCCCCAGTCTCGCAAAGCACTTGAGCCCAGATCCTCAAAGGCATTTAGATTTCTAACAGAAATTGATTTCAAAGACAATCAAGCTTTGTGGGATCAAGACTCTAAGCTGATGGACTCACTGACAACAGATAAGCCCCCCAACAGCAGCACAATTTCAGTCCCTTTCTTTAGGGGTGGGTTTATTTCTCCAAACCCAAAAAGTCAGACATTAAAAAGACAAACCAGGTCCTTTCCTCTTACCTAGCCTCTCTTGCAGGGTCTTTCTCCCCACTGAACTGCCTGTTGGCCTACAGACCAGCTGATTAGATGATTACGTCCTTCCTAGTCGCACACCCATCAAGAGCGAGGTAGCTAATTGGTCACAGGTGGGGCTAAGACTGACCCCCTCCCCATAGAAGTCCAAGTATTCCTTGGCCTAAGAGGTCAGTATTTTGCCATCTGTCAGAATCACCACTTGCGTCCCAATTTATTTCTCCATATAATTTCGGCAAAAAGTGTTCAGGAAAGGTGACAATGACTTCTCTGTAGTTCTCTGAGCCCTCCAAAGTAGAACTGCATGGCTGGGATGGGATGTGTATCGACAAATGTGATTATGGAGCACCATTTCAGATTTTAAGAGGAGGGTCAGGTCTGGGGGCCCTTAGGCACTGAACATTCTTGGAAATATTGAAGGATGAAATATAAAAATCAGTCTATTTCAGGAGCATGTGTTGTGATTATTTCCTATATTTTTCATAAGAATTCATATAGATTTACTAGTCCAAAATTATCAACATAGGCCAGACTGACTATTTGTAAAGCTAAGGAATCTGCATCTGTGGCATGCAGAGCCAGTGCCAAATAAAACCTATTTTTTCCAGCTTATAAAACCACAACGTTCAAAACACATATGAGACAAAGATGGTAAAATGTTATCGATCCCCCAGCCTTGGTGTATCCATCTATTAGCCTTTGCACAGCTAGCAGCATAGCCGCTCAGTGTGATTGATTGCTACTATTTTTAGCAGAGAAACATCAAATGATTTATTAAAAAAAATAAAATCTACTTACCCCCTGTCTGTAGCCCCCCATTATCAAACAGGAATGACATTTACTGAAGTCTGTGGTATTAGTCCCTGGTAGTTTAAATCCACAGATAACTCCAGGTGGAGTCATAGCTTTCCTCATTCTAATTTAAAACATTAACTACTCACGGAGAATTTCTGAAGTCGATCCATTAAATCCTCTACGACAGCGTTTCCCAATTGGTGCTCCATGGAACCCCAGGGTTCCGCGAAGCACAAGTAAGGGTTCCGCGAGAACTCGGCACTTCCCCGCCCCCTCTTAAAGAAACAGAGCCTTTTTGAGGCAGGAGTTGGCGGGTCTTTTTTTTTCCCCCCTCAACAAATTTTACCCTGGCAACCCTAGGGGTTCCTTGAAATTCTTTCAAGCTGAAAAGGACTCCGTGGCCAAATAAAATTAGGAAACACTGTTCTACTATATAGTTTAGAGAGTTTGTGCATTTGTCTGGCAGAGTGTCTGTCCATCTCTGAGTCAGTTTGTGCAAGAACTCCTATACAGTAAGAGCTAGCATCAGCCGACGGTCAGGGCAGTGTGTGTGTGTGTGTGTGTGTGTGTGTGTGTGTGTGTGTGTTACCGAGAAAAGGTTTAACATCTGTGACTTTACCGCTAGGACCGGGGTCCCGTCGCAGAGGGCAGCCAACAGGCTGACAGACGCCCCGAGTTAATAGGAAGAGCTTATTACATCTCAGATTTTAGCTGCTAGGATACAGGATCCCTCCGCAGCGGGCAGTCTAGGGAAGACTGAGAGATGCCCCAACGGATCTGTCACCTGGGAGTGGCACGATCCAAACGCCCAAGCTCTTCCTAACCTGTCCCTTATGACCGGCTGAAGTTCTTTTAAATTGTGCTTGGTTCTGTTACAGAAACTGAAGGAGTCAGGTTAAAAAGTTTAAACAGTTACAGGTTTATTAAAAAGACTTATAAAAGCATATGGTTACAATGGCTATTGCTCTCTTTCTTAACTGCTAGCAAATATAGATCTTAAAAATGGTTACAATGAAAATAAAGATAGAAAATAGAAATAATGGTACCAAGTGACAGCTTAATCTTTAAAGAGCTCTAAGTCTATGTGTACACTTCAGACAAAGGACCACATCCAGGTACAATTTTTACCCCTTTCTGTGCCTCTCGACTCCAGCATGTCAGGCCAGGGCCGGTCTCTCAATTCCTAGGAAAGACTAATACGAGGTGGGCGTCCCCTTGGAACCTCAGGAGGTAAATCACCTAACCCAACCAGCAGATAGATAGTAGATTGACACGCAGAGTAAATGTGCTGCTGGACCCATCTTTATACCCATAGGGGCCCGTATCCTCTTTCTTATCTAAGATGCCAAATTGTACTGGTCCGTTTTGTGGCGCCAGTTCTTACAAGGAAGTTTCAACTTAATTTACACTTGCAAGAGAGATAACTAAATTGTGAGTACTAGACCTTTTTTTTACTGGGCGAGAGATTCCTCCCCCCGCGGACGGCTGTGTGTTCGTATCAATATGGGATTTAGTCAAGGGCACTCCTCGGCAGCCTCTTGGTCAGCAATTGGCATATCTCTGTTTACAGCCATTCACGGTTACTGAGCCTGCATATCCAGGCCAGGAAAAAAGGATGTTACAAGGGGGGGTTCCTGTCTGGCTACAGCTAGGACCACTCTAGAATGCAGCTTCCTCTTATCATAACTTAAACCAAGGTCAGGGTCTGGTTGTATGCATGAGATATGCATGGAATGGGATTATTTCGCATCAAACAAAAAGGGAGGCGTAGGAAAGCAGGGACAGTTATACTCATGAGTCATGAATGACCATGGGGGGCAGCAAGCACAGGGAACACCTATACTCATGAATTATACCAGGAGGCAGCAAACACCTCAGCCATGGGAGCATCTGGCCAGCAGCACAGCCAGTGCCACTCCCACGGTCCCGGGCAGCCCTGTTGTTCCAGGTTCACCCTGGGGAGAAGCCAGCAGGCAGCCTGTGTTGCCCCCTTCCTGCTCTGGGCTAGCCCCAGAGGGAAGCCACCAAGGGGGCTGCACAGCCCCCACCAACCTGTGCCCGCCCCAGCCATGGGCAACACCAGGTAAGATTTCTAGTGGATTATAAATGAAGCTATTAGTAATTAGTTGATCATGTTTCAAATTGTGGAGAGAAGAATGAACGTAAGAATGGCCATGCTGGGTCAGACCAATGGTCCCTCCATTTACCTCTCTACATAACTGACCATTTATCCATATTTTCTGTGTATCGTGTTTTAAGCATTTATTGATCCATGAGGGGACCTTCGCTTTTATCCCGTGACAGCGTAAGAGCATTGCTTTAGATCCCTTGGTGAGGCACCTTGTCAAAGATTTTCTGAAAGTGTAGGCACATTAAGGCCTCTGGATCATCCTTGTCTTGATGTTTGTTGATAATCAAATAATTATAGTGAATTGGTGAAGCATGATTTCCTTTCCCAAAAGCTGTGTTAACTCCTCTGCAACATAGCATCTTCCTCTGTGTGTCTGACAATTCTGCCCTTTGCTAGAGTTTCCACCAATTTGCCTGGTACTGAAGTTAGACTTACTTCCCTGTAATTGCGAGGTTTGCCTCTGGAGCCTTTTTAGAAAATTGGTGTCATGTTAGCTATCTTCCAGTCATCTGATACAGAGGATGGTTTAAATCAGCGTTTCTCAAACTGTGGGTCACGACCCCCAGGGGGATAGCCACCAACTTACAGGGGGGTTGCAGCTGGATCCAGTTTTTTTTTTAATTTGAGTGACCCCCCCCTGCACTCTCACCAAAATGGTGGCTATCACATCAGCAAGGAGAGTTTCAGAACTCAGGGCCCTAACGGTTTACCCTCCACATATGGTCTTTTTGGCAGACAGGATGTGTCTGCACCCGCATCCAGCCTTCTGGCCTTCCTGCCTAAGGTGGTGTCCGCATTCCGTGTGTCGCAGGATATTTACTTACCGGTATTCTTCCCAAAGCCCCATGCGACCCCTCGGGAGCAAGCCCTACACTGGCTAGACGCAAAGCAAGCACTGGCGTTTTACATTGATAGAACAAGAGTTTTGCAGATTTCCTCAGCTCTTTATTTCAATAGCAGAAAGAAAGAAAGGTCTGCTGGTATCCTGCACTGGGATGGGGGGCACTGGAGGGCCTGCCTCAGCGGGAGGAGGGGGTGCACTGGGATAAGGGGATACTGGGGAGGCCTGCCTCATGGGGAGGAGGGAGTGCACTGGGATGGGGGGCTTTGGAGGGGGGGCCTAGCTCTGAGGCAGACATGAGTGCATTGGGATGGGGAGACAGGGAGGCCTGGCTCAGGGGGAGGCGTGGGTGCAGTCCCAAACTGGACAAAGTGGTGCACCTTTTGCTTAACAACTTTGGCTCCCCCCCCTTTTTTTTGCTTAAGAACTTTTATAAATTCATTTAGCATTTTAGAGAGTCACAGTATCACAAAGTTTGAGAACCTCTGGTTTAAATGATACTACACCACAGTGAGCAGTTCTGCAATTTCCTATTTGAGGTCTTTCAAAAATCATGTGAATCCCATCTGGTCCTGGTGACTTGTTGTTTAAGCCATTTATTCAAACGCTGTTTAAACAATGCAATTATCAGAGGCTTGGTGGAGGTGCCGAGAATCTGAAGTATGTATTTTAGACATGGAAGCTGGAGCATTTTTGCACAGGAAATATCTAATGGCACCAACAACGTTGTCTGAAGTGAAAACGTTGAAAAAGGACATGGGAGCAAAACCAGTTTCTGAGACCAGTTAGAATAGTAGACAACACCTTGTCATTGGCTTGGCCAGAATAGCGTATGGTCTTGTTGACTTTCCAGGTGTTTCACTGCTTCGCCCTGAGTGTATATCTGCATAGCTTGTGTCCGCCTGCAGCAGCAAATGCCTCAGCCCAGGTCAATACACTTGGGTTCACAGGTTCAGGGCCAGAGCTCCAGCCCAAGCTGCATTGTTGACACAGGATTTTTAGCGTGGCCTGTCGCCTTGGGCTGAGGATATGTCTACACTACAGAGTTTTTTCAGAAAAACTGCCATTTTAAGTTACGTCCACACTGCAATCGCATCTTTCGGAAAAATAATCGAAAGAACGAAGGGTTTTTTTTTCCGACATTGGTAAACCTCTTTCTATGAGGAAGAAGCCTTTTTCCGAAAGAGCTCTTTTGGAAAAAGGCATGTGTGGACAGGGAAGAGGAAGTTCTTTCACAAGAAGAGGAAAGAGGAAAAAGCACAGATGCCCTGGTGGCCATTCCATCCATAGTAATCACAACTTACATGCGAGAAAGCATCCATTCAGTGTGTAAGCTAACTGTTGAAAAAGCAGATCGGTTTTTCGATACAGTTTGGCAGTATGGACGCTTTCTTTCGGAAGAAGTATTTTCAGAAGTTCTCTTCTGGAAAATCTTCTCTCGAAAGACGCCTGCAGTTTAGACATAGCCTGAGAGGCTTGTTGTTTATGTACTATACCCTGGGAGTACGTCTATGCTGCCTTAAAAAGCCTGTGACTGGCCTGTACTACCTGACGTGGAGTTAGGATGCTCAGGCCAAACGGCTGTTGAATTGTAGTGTAGACATTTGGTCTCGATCTCCAATCTAAACTCTGGGATCCCAGAGTGAAACAGCACCATCAGTTGAGCCTTGCAAGCCGTGTCAGCTGGCAAAGATGGCCACATGTGTGTGTTTGTGGTTTAGACATGCACTCGGAGACCTAGAGCAACAAATGCCTTAGGCACTCTTCTACCATTGTTGCTCTCAACCATCCTTTTTATTCTCTTTAGCCCAGAGAAGTACCTCTCACTTGAGGCTATAGAAACTGAGAGGCTCAACACATTGTCAACAATTGACAACAAAGAGAGATAGTCTTTCAGTAAACCATTCAGAGCATTCAAGAATTCAGAAATGACTGTCAATTATTTTTGTGATGAACTGGGCAGCTTCACGTTCTGCATGAAGACTATGAAAATGGGTGCTTGCTGGCACATTGTGATCCGCTGTTGTCTTTAGATCAGGACAATCAAGAAAGCTGTGTCCGTTTAGATGACAGGCATTTAGCACAGAATTCAAGCTGGAGTTAGAGGTTAGCACTCAGCAAGAACTCTGTCCAGCATGGGTGAGTAGATAGCTCAGTGGTTTGAGCATTGGCCTAAACCTAGAGTTGTGAGTTCGATCCTTGCAGAGGCCATTTGGGGCAAAAATTTGTCAGGGATGG